TCCACACACACACACACCACCACCTGTTGCCACCACACACACACACCACACACACACACACCACCACCTGTTGCTCCACACACACACACACACACCACCACCTGTTGCTCCCACACACACACACACACCACCACCTGTTGCTCACCACACACACACACACACCACCACCTGTTGCTCCACACACACACACACACCACCACCTGTTGCTCCACACACACACACACACACCACCACCTGTTGCTCACACACACACACACACACCACACACACACACACACACCACCACCTGTTGCTCCACCACACACACACACACACCACCACCTGTTGCTCCACACACACACACACACACACCACCACCTGTTGCTCCACACCACACACACACACACACCACCACCTGTTGCTCCACACACACACACACACCACCACCTGTTGCTCCACACACACACACACACACCACCACCTGTTGCTCCACACACACACACACACACACACACACACACCACCACCTGTTGCTCCACACACACACACACACACCACCACCTGTTGCTCACACACACACACCACCACCTGTTGCTCCACACACACACACACACCACCACCACCTGTTGCTACACACACACACACACACCACCACACACACACACACCACCACCTGTTGCTCCACACACACACACACCACCACCTGTTGCTCTACACACACACACACACAACCACCTGTTGCTCCACACACACACACACCACCACCTGTTGCTCCACTACACACACACACACACCACCACCTGTTGCTCCACACACACACACACACCACCACCTGTTGCTCCACACACACACACACCACCACCTGTTGCTCACACACACACACACACCACCACCTGTTGCTCCACACACACACACCACCACCTGTTGCTCCACACACACACACCACCACCTGTTGCTCCACACACACACACACCACCACACACACACACACACCACCACCTGTTGCTCTACACACACACACACACCACCACCTGTTGCTCCACACACACACACACACCACCACCTGTTGCTCTACACACACACACACACCACACACACACACACACCACCACCTGTTGCTCTACACACACACACACCACCACACACACACACACACACCACCACCTGTTGCTCCACACACACACACACCACCACCTGTTGCTCCACACACACACACACCACCACCTGTTGCTCCACACACACACACACCACCACCACCTGTTGCTCCACACACACACACACCACCACCTGTTGCTCCACACACACACACACCACCACCACCACCTGTTGCTCCACACACACACACACACACCACCACCTGTTGCTCCACACACACACACACCACCACCACCACCTGTTGCTCCACACACACACACACACACCACCACCACCTGTTGCTCCACACACACACACACACACACACCACCACCTGTTGCTCACACACACACACACACACACCACCACCTGTTGCTCCACACACACACACACACAACCACCTGTTGCTCTACACACACACACACAACCACCTGTTGCTGTACACACACACACCACCACCACCTGTTGCTCCCACACACACACACCACCACCTGTTGCTCTACACACACACACACCACCACCTGTTGCTCTACACACACACACACACCACCACCTGTTGCTCCACACACACACACACACACACCACCACCTGTTGCTCCACACACACACACACACACACACCACCACCTGTTGCTCCACACACACACACACACACACACACCACCACCTGTTGCTCCACACACACACACACACACACACCACCACCTGTTGCTCTACACACACACACACCACCACCTGTTGCTCTACACACACACACACAACCACCTGTTGCTCTACACACACACACACAACCACCTGTTGCTCCACACACACACACCACCACCTGTTGCTCCACACACACACACACACCACCACCTGTTGCTCTACACACACACACACCACCTGTTGCTCCACACACACGCACACATACCACCACCTGTTGCTCCACACACACACACACGCCACCACCTGTTGCTCCACACACACGCACACACACACCAACTGTTGCTCCACACACACACCACCACCTGTTGCTCCACACACACAAACACACCCCACCACCTGTTGCTCCACACACACGCACACACACCACCACCATCTGTTGCTCCACACACACACACACACACACACACACACACACACACACACACACACACACACACACACACACACACACACACACACACACACACCACCACCTGTTGCTCTAGTAATGGTGATGGTGTTAGTAATGGTGGTAGTGCTAGTAATGGTGGTGGTGTTAGTAATGGTGGTAGTGTTAGTGATGGTGGTGGTGCTAGTAATGGTGGTGGTGCTAGTAATGGTGGTGGTGTTAGTAATGGTGGTGGTGTTAGTGATGGTGGTGGTGTTAGTAATGGTGGTGTTAGTAATGGTGGTGTTAGTAATGGTGATGGTGTTAGTAATGGTGATGGTGTTAGTAATGGTGGTGGTGTTAGTAATGGTGGTGGTGTTAGTAATGGTGGTGGTGTTAGTAATGGTGGTGGTGTTAGTAATGGTGGTGGTGTTAGTAATGGTTATGGTGTTAGTAATGGTGGTGGTGTTAGTAATGGTTATGGTGTTAGTAATGGTGGTGGTGTTAGTAATGGTGGTGGTGTTAGTAATGGTGGTGGTGTTAGTAATGGTGGTGGTGTTAGTAATGGTTATGGTGTTAGTAATGGTTATGGTGTTAGTAATGGTGGTGGTGTTAGTAATGGTGGTGGTGTTAGTAATGGTGGTGGTGTTAGTAATGGTGGTGGTGTTAGTAATGGTTATGGTGTTAGTAATGGTGGTGGTGTTAGTAATGGTGGTGTTAGTAATGGTGGTGTTAGTAATGGTGATGGTGTTAGTAATGGTGATGGTGTTAGTAATGGTGATGGTGTTAGTAATGGTGATGGTGTTAGTAATGGTGATGGTGTTAGTAATGGTGGTGGTGTTAGTAATGGTTATGGTGTTAGTAATGGTGATGGTGTTAGTAATGGTGATAGTGTTAGTAATGGTGATGGTGTTAGTAATGGTGATGGTGTTAGTAATGGTGGTGTTAGTAATGGTGATGGTGTTAGTAATGGTGGTGTTAGTAATGGTGATGGTGTTAGTAATGGTGGTGTTAGTAATGGTGATGGTGTTAGTAATGGTGATGGTGTTAGTAATGGTGGTGTTAGTAATGGTGATGGTGTTAGTAATGGTGATGGTGTTAGTAATGGTGATGGTGTTAGTAATGGTGATGGTGTTAGTAATGGTGATGGTGTTAGTAATGGTGGTGGTGTTAGTAATGGTGATGGTTTTAGTAATGGTGGTGGTGTTAGTAATGGTGGTGTTAGTAATGGTGGTGTTAGTAATGGTGATGGTGTTAGTAATGGTGATGGTGTTAGTAATGGTGGTTGTGTTAGTAATGGTGGTGGTGTTAGTAATGGTTATGGTGTTAGTAATGGTGGTGGTGTTAGTAATGGTGGTGGTGTTAGTAATGGTTATGGTGTTAGTAATGGTGGTGGTGTTAGTAATGGTTATGGTGTTAGTAATGGTGGTGTTAGTAATAGTGGTGTTAGTAATGGTTATGGTGTTAGTAATGGTGGTGGTGTTAGTAATGGTGGTGGTGTTAGTAATGGTGATGGTGTTAGTAATGGTGATGGTGTTAGTAATGGTGGTGGTGTTAGTAATGGTGGTGGTGTTAGTAATGGTGGTGTTAGTAATGGTTATGGTGTTAGTAATGGTGATGGTGTTAGTAATGGTGGTGGTGTTAGTAATGGTGGTGGTGTTAGTAATGGTTATGGTGTTAGTAATGGTGGTGGTGTTAGTAATGGTGGTGGTGTTAATAATGGTTATGGTGTTAGTAATGGTTATGGTGTTAGTAATGGTGGTGGTGTTAGTAATGGTGGTGGTGTTAGTAATGGTGGTGTTAGTAATGGTGATGGTGTTAGTAATGGTGGTGGTGTTAGTAATGGTGGTGGTGTTAGTAATGGTGGTGGTGTTAGTAATGGTGGTGGTGTTAGTAATGGTGGTTTTAGTAATGGTGGTGCTGCTAATGGTGGTGCTACTAATGGTGGTGCTACTAATGGTGGTGCTACTAATGGTGGTGCTACTAATGGTGGTGCTATTAATGGTGGTGCTACTAATGGTGGTGCTACTAATGGTGGTGCTATTAATGGTGGTGCTACTAATGGTGGTGCTACTAATGGTGGTGCTATTAATGGTGGTGCTACTAATGGTGGTGCTATTAATGGTGGTTGTCGTGCTAGTTATGAAGATGTTGGTGGTGGTGGTACTGACAGTGGTGGTTATTGTGGTAGTGGTGGTATTGACAGTGGTGGTAATTGTGGTGGTGGTGGTACTGACAGTGGTGGTAATTGTGGTGGTGGTGGTATTGACAGTGGTAATAATTGTGGTGGTGGTGGTACTGACAGTGGTGGTAATTGTGGTGGTGTTGGTAATGGTGGTAATTGTGGTAGTATTAGCTATGTGGTAACGGGAGGGACACATGTTGTGGGAATGGGGTAATGGGTAGTGATATTGTTGTTGTTGGTGGTAGATAGGGGGTGTAGGGTGAGGGGGGGTGGCATTAATGGGGAGTGGTAGGGGGGGGGGCTACACCCTCAAAGGTGACCCTAGAGGGGGGGAGAGAGTGGGTGGGTGGGGGTACAAGCAGGCCCCAACACATGGCACTAAGAACAACTATGGCACTGGGGGTTGACAGTCAAGCAGGCAGGGTGGTGGTGGTGGTGGCAGCAATAAAAGCGGCAAGAGCCATGCGTGTTAGCGGTCGAGCAGTGGCCTCAACTGATGGCACTTAGGGCACTAGAGCAGGGAACACTGGCTGTCATGCAGGTGGCAGCAGGTGGCACTAAGGGGCGGTGGCAGCAGGCGGCACTAAGGGGCGGTGGCAGCAGGCGGCACTAAGGGGCGGTGTCACTGACCCTGCGAGGAGTACAGCAGGTCGAGGCCCTCAGACGAGGAGGAGTAGGAGTAGGAGCGCGCCATGTTGTGTTGTGGACGGGGGCCGTCAGCAGGCCCGGTAGGGGGCCCTGGCGGGGGCGCCGAGGGCCGCAAGCCGCCCTTCACCCCCATCAGCCCATGGGGCCCGCCCGCTGGCCCCTGGGGCCCGCCCGCGTACCGCTGCGGTTTCGGGGGCGCCACGCCGGGTGCTGCAGACACCACAAGAGCTGTCATGGTCTTGTTCAGAGTATGTAAACAACACAACTAACGTGAATAATGGCTGTCCTGGTGAGCCAGCGTCCGCTCCCACACCAGATCTCATCCCTTCTGACACCACAACACTCTACACTGTGGACACCCTACACTGTGGACACCACAACACCCTACACTGTGGACACCACAACACCCTACACTGTGGACACCACAACACCCTACACTGTGGACACCCTACACTGTGGACACCACAACACCCTACACTGTGGACACCCTACACTGTGGACACCCTACACTGTGGACACCACAACACCCTACACTGTGGACACCCTACACCCTACACTGTGGACACCCTACACCCTACACTGTGGACACCCTACACCCTACACTGTGGACACCCTACACCCTACACTGTGGACACCCTACACCCTACACTGTGGACACCACAACACCCTACACTGTGTACACCACAACACCCTACACTGTGGACACCCTACACCCTACACTGTGGACACCCTACACCCTACACTGTGGACACCCTACACCCTACACTGTGGACACCACAACACCCTACACTGTGGACACCACAACACATTACACTGTGGACACCCTACACCCTACACTGTGGATACCACAACACCCTACACTGTGGACACCACAACACCCTACACTGTGGACACCACAACACATTACACTGTGGACACCACAACACCCTACACTGTGGACACCACAACACCCTACACTGTGGATACCACAACACCCTACACTGTGGACACCCTACACCCTACACTGTGGACACCACAACACCCTACACTGTGGACACCACAACACCCTACACTGTGGACACCACAACACCCTACACTGTGGACACCTTACACTGTGGACACCACAACACCCTACACTGTGGACACCACAACACCCTACACTGTGGACACCCTACACCCTACACTGTGGACACCCTACACTGTGTACACCACAACACCCTACACTGTGGACACCACAACACCCTACACTGTGGACACCCTACACCCTACACTGTGGACACCCTACACTGTGTACACCACAACACCCTACACTGTGGACACCCTACACTGTGGACACCCTACACCCTACACTGTGGACACCACAACACCCTACACTGTGGACACCACAACACCCTACACTGTGGGACACCACAACACCCTACACTGTGGACACCACAACACCCTACACTGTGGACACCACAACACCCTACACTGTGGGACACCACAACACCCTACACTGTGGACACCACAACACCCTACACTGTGGACACCCTACACTGTGGACACCACAACACCCTACACTGTGGACACCACAACACCCTACACTGTGGACACCACAACACCCTACACTGTGGACAACCTACACTGTGGACACCACAACAACCTACACTGTGGACACCACAACACCCTACACTGTGGACACCCTACACTGTGGACACCACAACACCCTACACTGTGGACACTCTACACTGTGGACACCACAACACCCTACACTGTGGACACCACAACACCCTACACTGTGGGATACCACAACACCCTACACTGTGGACACCCTACACTGTGGACACCCTACACCCTACGCTGTGGACACCACAACACCCTACACTGTGGACACCACAACACCCTACACTGTGGACAACCTACACTGTGGACACCACAACAACCTACACTGTGGACACCACAACACCCTACACTGTGGACACCCTACACTGTGGACACAACACCCTACACTGTGGACACTCTACACTGTGGACACCACAACACCCTACACTGTGGACACCCTACACTGTGGACACCCTACACTGTGGACACCCTACACTGTGGGATACCACAACACCCTACACTGTGGACACCACAACACCCTACACTGTGGACACTCTACACTGTGGACACCACAACACCCTACACTGTGGACACCCTACACTATGGAACACCACAACACCCTACACTGTGGACACCACAACACCCTACACTGTGGACACCACAACACCCTACACTGTGGACACCTTACACTGTGGACACCACAACACCCTACACTGTGGAACACCACAACACCCTACACTGTGGACACCACAACACCCTACACTGTGGACACCTTACACTGTGGACACCACAACACCCTACACTGTGGACACCACAACACCCTACACTGTGGACACCACAACACCCTACACTGTGGACACCACAACACCCTACACTGCGGGACACCCTACACTATGGGACACCACAACACCCTACACTGTGGACACCACAACACCCTACACTGTGGACACCACAACACCCTACACTGCGGGACACCACAATACAACCCAACACTAAGGGAGCACCCGCACCATATTAGCTGAAGGTGTAGGCCACTACCACACGAGTAGTGTGGTAGTGGCCACACTACTCCGCACCATAAATTCTCCTTGACATTCCCTGGTCACGTGATGACGGCCTCCGTCGTCCCGCCCAATCTCCACCTCCCATCACGTCACATACTCCTGTTTACTCTTCCAACTGAGCATCAATTTGAGCAGCCTGGTTCAGATTGGTGTGGATATGCCCAGGTTATCGGCGCATTGCACTGCTTGGTTATCTTGAGGTTATCTTGAGATGATTTCGGGGCTTTCAGTGTCCCCGCGGCCCGGTCCTCGACCAGGCCTCCACCCCCAGGAAGCAGCCCGTGACAGCTGACTAACACCCGGGTACCTATTTTACTGCTAGGTAACAGGGGCATGGGGTGAAAGAAACTCTGCCCATTGTTTCTCGCCGGCGCCTGGGATCGAACCCAGGACCACAGGATCACAAGTCCAGCGTGGGATTAAAACACATGTATGCCTTCAATATCAATAGTTCAGTCTCCTGAACTACCCACCCAATGCATTGATATTGAATTGCCAGTGGCAGTTTTCAACGTGGGGGAGATACATCAACAGATTGTCGGTGAGCTTGTCCAAGACAAGCTCTACACTCACCCAGTCGATTATGCAACATTATGCAAGATTGTTGTTAATGAATTCCAGTTATCGATTGAGAGTCTCAAGTGGTCTGCATTCCGTTTTTCAATCATAAACGGGGAGATTGGATTAATGAGCATTCGTCCTTTGTTGATGAGGACGGGCTAATTGCCGACCTACTTGGCATACAGAAGCTCCGTGTTGAACACGTCACTCTGAAGTTCAAGGACGAGTCTCTGCTTTGAAGCAGTTGTTGCAACAGTTGCTGTGGGCAACATAACAGTGAAGGTCAACCATGCAGGGGAAGGACACCGCCTGTAAGGTGGTGCAAGACGAATGCTCCATTAACAATACGTGACGGTGTAGTGAAGATGGTGCTCTCCCATTATGGCGGTGTGCTTGATATTCGGCCCCATTGCTTTACTTCTATACCAGCTAAGGGGGGTTCTATCTGGGAACCTGTCAGCCTGGAGATCGTGAAGGGGATCCCTTCATCGCTATGCATGCCAGTAAGCATGCTGCATATATTTGATCAAAGGCATACCTGTTTTCAAGTGTGAGTTGCCTGGTCACATGGCTGCTGTGTGTCTGGTTGTTCCGGAGGGAGCAAATGTTCCGGGAATGAGGCTCTCGGAAGTTTATTTTCCACCAATGTCGGGTGTTGGGAATCACGGAGGTGGTAAGATGGATGGTGAGTCCTTGGGGGTGTCTTGTGCTGTCCCTGTAGGTGGTGGTGGTAATGGTGGGGCTGGTACACTTGTCTTAGTGTCACTAGGTGGTGGTGTGGTGGGTGATGGTGGTCGACCTCACCAATGGTTGCTGTAGAGACGCTTGGCAGTGGTGCTGGCTGTAAGGTTGATGTCACAAAAATGGTTTAGTTTGTGATGATACAGTGCCGCGTTTCAAAGGGGAAAAGTTGAGTGGGGATCTGGTGAATACGCACAAAAAGAGGAAGTGCGCAGTTGAGAGTGGTGAGGGATGGATTGTCTGTAGCTTTCCCGGTTCATCCTGGTGTGGGTGGTAGTGAGGGAGCACCTGTGTCACTGGAAATGGTTCGTGCTGAGGTTCATGACGTAAAGAGGTGTGTGCCATCTGATGTAAGTTGGTATGTTGGAGTTGATATCATCGAGTCATCTGATCCTTTGTTGAAGGTCTTGCTGTGGCAGGTCTCTTTGGCTTGTTATGATGGTACTGCTATTGAGGCTAGTTTAGAGGCAGGTCTGGTTTCGGATGTTGCTGGTACGTTGGATGTATCTGATGATAGGGAAGGTATTGTGGACCCGGATGGGTGTTCAGTGGTCGTCGATTCCTTGTTAGATATTGTGGCTGCATGTAGTTCCTCTGATAAATTCTCTTGACATTCTGTGGTATCCTGATTTCGAGGCTTCGATGAAGGATGTGGGATATGGTGGTGAGGCCAGTGTAACGAATGCTGGAGTGATGTCACAACATTTGATGATATAAAAACAGCAGTTGTAGTGACTATGAGGGTTCTGTCATTAAGTCTGAGATTTTATACATTGATATCTGTTGGGGAAGAATGTGGTCGAGTCTGCCAATCGGTCGATTTTCCAGTTTCTGTTGATGGACCAGTATATGCTAGTGAAGAGTGTGCCGTCGCTTCGTGCTGACGTTGGTCGAGTTTGGTGGACGTATACTGGAAAGCTGCAGCAATATTTCAGAGGGAGTTTAGCCAGAATTTCTTAGTTTAGTCTCTTTGTCGGTACCATTGTGCTTTGCCTTATGGGTTAGTTATCTGTTGCAGGCTCCGGGTGCGGGTGATGTCACCCGTCTCATACATCTGTACTACTCTAAGTATTGAGGTGCTCCTCAATACTTAAGAGAGCACACTGGATTGAGTGATTGAGGGATACGTTTCTTGGTTTGTGTTGGGCCTTCTCGTTTGAGTATGTCATATTTTTTACCGTTTTTTTTTTAACAACTCCTTTGCTGGTTGTGGTCGTTGATAGTATTGGTGACGGATTATATTTATTGTCTGCGGGCTGGTCGTTTGAGGAGGCTGACAGTGGT